CGCACCACTGGTTTAGAATTAAGGTTTTCCAAATCCCCTATATGGAATTTCCGTATCCACTAACCTTGTTAAAGCGCCGGACGTTCGCTTTTCGTACTCTCAATTTCGTAAACAACACCGCCGCCACGAGGAGGCACTCAATAGGACTTCCATGGTAGTGGCTGTATACGCGTTGCCATGTGAGAGCATTTGGAGAGGGAGAGCTGATACTCCATACCTTCGGCTGTACCAGAATATTTGGGGGCTCATTACTTAGTTTGTTTTTTTGCAGTATTTTTGCTAATTAATTACTGACGCCTGTCAATCCAAATGGGGCGTAGGCCGCCAACCAGCATTCTCCAGCCCACTCTATCCTCGGCCTTTCTTTCTAGTTCTATCCAATTTTTGTTTATTTTTCTCATGTCTGTCTCCATTTCTCGACGTAATATGTTCTTTGGTCTCCCTCTTTTCCGTTGGTCTTGAGGATTCCATGTGAGGCCTTGCCTGGAGACCCTCTTGGACCACTGCCTGTCCCAAGCCCGGATAAAGGAGGAAAGTTAGGCATGGGGTTAGCGACCCCATTCCGTAGAAAACTAACTCGCTAAAAAACGATAACCAGAAAAAATGTTTTGTATGTACACTGATATTCACGTTTTTAAACGTATAAAATGTACTACTCACATATGATTTTATTTTTGACTCAGTATTTTGAAGAGATATCACTCTAGGTAAATTTCACCTATTACATCAACAGTTAAAACTGATAGATGTTATCTCCTAATTTAATGCATATGGATTACTGATGTTGTTGTGTTTTTACATATTAGTCGTCTGACCTAACTAGTTCACATTATGTAATAGAAGAATTTCACAATTATTCCTACGTTGGAACAATCAAATAATTCAGAAAAGACTATAACACCTATAACGATTTGTTGGACTGACACATTTATTTATTTATTTTAACACATAGATGTTGGTACAAGGAGGCACCAAATATATATGCACCACACATATCTCATTTGATATGTGTGACGGCTGTGATACTGCCCGGGTGCCCAAACTGAAGCAGGGATGACACATTTCCCTTCTTAGATATATAGATTTCTTTATTAATAAAAGAGGGTAATCACCTGTTAGAGTCTATCTGTCAAACATAATTTTCTAGTTTGTTGTAGAACGTTTTCACTAGTCCATATTTATTAGCTTATCGGATAAAAGCTATGAAAGTTTATACATTATCTACTCTAAGTTCCTTCTCTATAGATATATCATTAATTTCATGGGTAATATCTAGTTCAAGGAAATGGAGTGGATTATTTAGCTAATATTCAATTGTTTCGAACAATTTCTTAGTACGATTTACATCTTTGAGCGAAATGAGTGCATCACCAACATACTTTGCATAGAGTTTAGTCTCTACGATATCAAGAAATTGTTATATCCTGATGCGAATAATGAATGGTAACTGTTGGGATCCATTTATGGACCAATACTATACGTATATTGTTTGTCGTGTAATTATTACGTAACTAAATTATTCATATTCGTGTTCCTCTCATTATGAGCTTATTTCGACCTACGAACTATTATTATACGATTTACTATTCTTGAATTATGTCCAGTCAATTAATTACAGTCTTCCACATTCACAGTCACTTTGTGTAGATCGTGTACAAATGTTGTTTCCAATTTTATGATACGTTGTCTGTTTAGTTTGTATATAAACCCAGTATGTCTGAAATACATGATTCATATCACAAAGGCTGAGATTGGTGTTCTGGACTTAACAGGGATGACTAGGCGGGAAGCAGGACCGCTAAGGACTCTAGACTGCTGGTATAGGTTTTATACGTCATTGGTTCGGTCGATAATTCACTGTTCTCTAATTGGCGGTATCATTACGTTATACATTGGTAGGGGCACAAACCTACAAGTTATAACAGTAATAATTTGTTTTTCTCCAGATTTGTGACAAATTCATCTGCAAGAATTGTTCTCAAAAAGGGTTACTCATAATTATATCATCAGTTTTCCAGAAAAGTTTATTGTTGAACGAATGTTCTATTCCATTTGAGTACTCAGCAGTAATGTAAAGATACAACAGAATCCATCATGTTGAGGTAGAGAGTGAAGTCAAAATTCAATATAACCAGTCAAATTTTGATGATTTCAAACAGTTATTATTATCACATAGGTTATTGCTGGTGATAACTCCTATAATTACTGACTCCTTTGTTTGCGTTGTGTAAACGAATAATATCTAATTCTAGGAGCAATAAAGCAGACAAACTTATTGGGCTATTAAGAAAGACAACACGGTAAAATATGAAGAACTTTATAGCGATAACATACAACCAGCAAACGGAATTTAAAATCCCCTGGAGAGTGTTAACAACTGAAGAACAGACATGGAATATGCTAAAAAAAAGTTTGTTGCACACAAACTGTGTAAGCACAATAATTGAAATTTCAAAGATAAATTCAGTAATTTCCAACTGAGCAACTACACAATCATCATCGTGTGAACTTGAAGGTTAAAATTATGGTATTTCCAAACTAAATGAATAAACCATTAAGCAGTCATTTCGAGAAATGATAGCTTTTGATCTCGATCTCATGGATTACTGATGAGGGGTTCTAAATTAGGAAGAAATGGCTATTCTGGAGTTTTATATTGTTAAGACATTTTCTAGATCATATTAGTTCATGATTAATAATATCCTCAGACTAAACTATATTCCATACAGACATGACCGTTGCAGTTACCTTGACATGGAGGTCGGTCTTGCCCATTGTGATGGTCCAATCGAGCTATACTGGCTGGAACAACCGTTCCTCAAGGTCCTACCATGTCAGACAGGTCGGTTGAAGAGCGGTAGAATTAAAAGCGGAAAACCCAAGGTCCGAGGGCGAAGTCGTACTGCTGACTGTACAGAGGTGTGACGGTAGTAACATGTTTCGTCCAGGAAACCAGCATAACAGCGATGCTGCCCTCCCACAAGGAATGGTGTTAGGAAAGGTCGACCATTAAAATGCACATCTCGCCTTGTCCCACGGATTTCTGTCTCCAGCGGTAAGGTTCCAGTAAGTAAGGAGCTAACACGAAAATTAAAAAAAGGTCGTGTGTGACCGACCTCAAGCAATTGTCCCTTGGGCACTGTAGTCACACTCTCAGGTCACTAAGACCATCTCTAATCCAATTTCCTTTTCAGGTACTTCTGGAAGAACCCTTCCACGGTGTGGGCAACCGGGAAGTGATAGCTGCCCTCTTTCCTTTAACAGCACTCAGGATCACTGTAGACTGAATTAACTTTATATGTCAAAATCCAAATTTAAAATTATAAGCAAAATAAGTTTAACATTCCCAAATGATGAAATTACTTGTATATACTGATTACTTGAATTAATGTGTAGGTCTAAGATAATTGAGTGACTATTAAATGGAGTGAACATCGGGTAATATAAAGTGATAGACAGTAATAATATTACCATATTAAATATTCAAGGTGAGATTACGTAATGGGCGAAATAATCTATGCAGAAGGTATCGCTTCACTAGATCTGACTATAAAGTGAAATCACCCAGAGTGCAAGATGAGAAATCCCCTAGTATTTTAATTGATTCATTTAAGATACAGTGTTATGAAGTCATATGTACATAGGGTGAACCACCTCAAAATCTTAAGTGTTGTGGTTCACTGAACCCTGCAGAAGATGCGAGTTCGTTCACAAATAATGGTTTAAAACTCCCGTATTATTCCAGTGTGGATTTTATTAATAGTGTGTAAAGTGTGGTTAGCATGTATCTGTCATCGTGCATATCCTTCTTAATCAACTGTGTTCTAAAACACATGGCTGCTTTCAAGTGCCAGTGAGCGTGGTCTTAAAATCGTAACTTATTTTGACTTTTGAGATATTGTAAGAGGAAAGTATTTTGGAATCTCGTACTCTTACTTTCGCATTTAGTGTATGCCGAAACATACTTAATCATAATGATTAAGTCCCAGATTAGTTTAAAGGCTTTGTACATCTCGACATAAAATTTAAATGTTAGCAGACCTAGCACAGTAACTTGTAGTCTTCAGTTACTCATCGATCTTCAAGGAGAAGCTTTGGGATAGGTCCAACACACTCTGCCGACAAGTAAGCTTTTTTTCATCGACCAGATTCAGCGAAAGTACGTTGCGAGACTATATCAAAGTAAATAACACTTTCTCCTGTTTAGTATTCTAATCCATTGTCTGGTACTGTAGAGGAAGCATCAACATGTTTAGTTGGTGGGAAAGATCACCCCAATAAAAGAGATTAAACAGATCTTTCTACATGGAGTTTTGGATACACATTCACTTACCAAAATGTGACATCTCATCTGTAACTCGGAAATGCTAATGCCGCTAAGCTATGCGTAGATGTATAATCCTTAACTCTAACTAAAGTCCAGACAATGTTACCATTCATACTTCCCAGCTCCTTCGTTCTCCGTTATGATTGACATTTTCATCCTTCTGATATCATGGAGTTTTGGGAAGATTAACTGACTTTTCGTTGCTAGGAAAGTAATCAGTGAATATTTATGGTGCTTATCACACAGGAAGTGGCTTTTTGGTAACATGTTAACAAGAAATCTAGTGGTTCAGATCTTTAGGGAAAACTTAGTGCTATAACTCGTATGCACTGAAGTGTCCGGCGTCAGGATTATTCACATCACTCCATCGTAGATTATTTAGCGAATTAACCACAGTTCTGAGGCTGATTTAGCCCTCTTACAATCATCTAAATAAGAATAACAATAGTAGAGCAGATGAGCTTACAAGTCAAGAATGAGAGATCCCCTGATGTATAGGTTTCCAAATTGATTAGCCAACTTTCGGGATATAACATAGAATTGGTCCGGGTTTCCGACCAACTTATTCAAGACTAGACTCTAGGAAAGGACCCACATGTACCCGGTAGTCCAGGAAAAAGAACAAGAATATACAAAATGCCGTCTCCTTATTTCAAACGTTGAAAAGTCGAGCTCGTGAATATAACTGTACTATTATAAATTACAATACAGTAACACTCAATAATGAACAATAATATATATATGTTTATCAGAATCTTACATCACACAATAAACGAAAGTCAAAGTATGAATGATGTACATTCAATTTATGAATGATACAAAAATAACAATAAAACCAATGTATACAAAGTTTAGGTAAGAATTGGAAGGGGATTAGAACATTATAAATGCAATAAACCTGTACAACTGAGTTATTAAAAACCTAATGTTCTGATCTTCACTCTTCCTCACCCTCATCGGGTTCGCCGTCATCTTCATCTTCTAACTCCGCACCATTTTCATCACCTCCAGCACTGGTCACTGTAGCACAATCTGGATTCTGAGCTTCAGAAGTCCTGATAGATGCAGAGTTTGACACAGCACCTGCAAGTTTCTTCTCTCTGGGAACATAAGTCCCCGCCCGATATTTTATCATGTCCTGAAACGAAAGTAATTTTTTACAGATACAATACTGGCTTAAACTCAGAAGAATTAGAAAAAAAACTTATGAACCAAAGTGAATAATTTACCTCTTCATAACGCTGTTTATCTTTTTGAGCTAATAGTTCATACTTTGCTTTATCTTGACAAGTTTCCCATTGACGTCCAAGTTCTTTAGCAATATCTGCAACTTTCCAATCTGGATTGCTTTCTCTGACTTTTGAACGGAATTCATCACAAAAGAAAAAGAAAGCAGACCAGGCTCGTGCAGGTACTGTGGGGTCTTTAGGACCCTTGCGTTTCTTCCCTTTTTTCATACCATCTGGTGGCACGTAATCACACATTTCACGATTGAATCGTTCTCTATCCAAGACAGCTAGATCTTCAAATCGTTTCTTCTCTTTTGGCGTCATTAACTGTAAGATTAAAGTTGAAGATTTAGAAGAAAAAGAAAAGACTACTAACCTTCCATCGTTCTGCGCACTTTTTTGAAAAATCACTGAATACAATTTGTTCACCAGGATGCTTCTTTTTGTGCTCTTCTCGAATAACTTGTACAAAACAGGCATAAGCAGACATAGGACCCTTAGGTTTATTCTTATCTTTAGTTTTATTCATGATTATTTAATAGTCTCAATGTATCTGGAAAAAAATTCAATCCGAAATCAAATGCTCCATCGCATAAAAGCAAATATAAGCGCATAAGATACCATTGATAGTAAACTACGCTTACCAGTCAAAACAATAACAAAGGGAGCTTAGATTAGCTATGATAGCAATACGAGCCTATATAGACTAGATAGGGAAGGCCTTATGCATACGAATAAGCCTAACTAGTTCATTGCAATCAATCTAACATAGGCAGGTCAAAAAACTTAGCTAGCCAATCATATACGAGTTTTTGAGATGATAAAATTGCGCTACAACTTGAACAAAGTCATAGATTTTGACTGTTAATAAATCAATTTTGAACATCTAGTATATTCAAAAAGACATATTTATTGTATCAAATAACAATTTTTTGTTTGAGTTTATCGACAAATTTGCGGAAATTTGTTTTATATTTTGTAGCGCCAAACTGGTTAGTAGTGTATACTGTATAATGCTTCCGTTTGATTGCATTTGTTAATAAGCGTAAGCACATGGTGTGCACTTGCTGGATCGTCCATTCGACTTCCTTCCGGCTAGACGCGATCCTCTACTTCTGAGAACCTAGTTTTATCCGTCCCCATTTAGAGTACGGAAACTTAGTACTCCCCTCTCACTCCAAAATGACAAGGTCACTTTGGAGCGTATCCAACGGCGAGCCACGAAATCAGTTCGAGGACTCAAATCTAAGCCTTACGAAGAACGCCTCCATTCACTAGACCTTTACCCATTAGAGTATAGGCGTCTTAGAGGTGATTTATTAATGGCTTATAGTATTCTTAACACTTCTGGACATCCTGTTAAACACCTACTTAAGCTTAGTTCGAATAATAACCTAAGGGGTAACACCCAGAGACTGGAAACTCAACATAGCAAGACGGGATGTAGACACAACTTCTACTCCTTAAGAGTTGTCAAAAGCTGGAATTCGCTGCCGGCCGAGCTAGTCCAAGCGACTTCTCAGGAGTCCTTCAAGAGGCAACTTGACCTATTCTTAAGGACCAACGACAGTATCACACTATGATTTACCAATTTCTTTTCCTCTTTTATTGTTAACATACCTAGGTTCCTGCCTGGAGGATTTGGTGATCCCCTGATACTAGACACGGAAGCCTGTTAAGCGAAAGCTTCTTCTATTCCGTCCACAACCATTTGAACCATTTAGTTTGTTCGTCACGAATTTATCGGCTCCAATGTCCGAAAATCACTCTAATCAACTCTCACGATTATTTTACCCTATAAATGAACGTGTTGGCTTGTCGATTGGTGTTATATCTGGACACCAAAGCAAGCACAAACGGAAACATTTAGTTTTTACAAGTAATTAGTGCAGATCATTAACAATATGTTAGTTTCACTAACGAAGCCTACAAGCATTCAGGTCTATCTCGTCAAGATTACGGATAAAAATGAAATTAAGAAAGTGCAAGTATGCAACGCGAAGAATCTGAAAAAAATTGACTGCAGAGATACAAAAACTCAGCCTAGCTATGAATTACAAATCATTACAGAAAATAAGGTTAGTCTTCGTAACTTGACTTTTTCATTCTGGAAATAACCGTGACGTTTCTTTTGACATGGTATTTTACCCTGGTCATAATTAGAAACTCACTATGTATACAGTGGGCCTGTGCTATTTTCTTCAGCTTGTTCTCTCGTGAAGATCCAGCTTCTACAGTTTCCAACACCATCTGCAAACAACAGTGTAGAGTACCTAAACAATCTCTGTAATTCATTGATTTAGAGGTATAAAGAAATGGGAGCCTGAGATGATACCTTAGGATACACCACTCTTGACTAGTTCCCATTGATATAGTGTCCAACATACCTTCACCTGTCTTTTCGGTCACAGAGGGAGTTTCTTAAGCACACTTTTGTGGCACCTGTAATCCCAAAGCTAAAGAGTTTCTGTTTAAGCCTTAATAACGTTAAATGCTTTACTAAAATCGATGAGTATCACACCGACAGAGAAACCCTTATCTTGGGCTGCTGTCCGATCCTCTCTCGCAATTAGTAAGTTAGGTAAGCATGACTGCTTAATTCAAAACCCGTGTTCCTGGTGAGTTAACAGATTATATGTTTCTACGTGACTTACTAAGCATCAGCCCAAATCATTCTCAAGTGACTTAACTACTATCGTAGTTAGACTCAACTTTTGGTAGGCACGATTTGTTTCTATACCTAAATATAGTTATAACTGAAGTTCTTTCAATCCCTGTTGAGTTAAGTTTGGGAAACGGACATGTTGAACAACATCGTGGGTTGTGTTGAAATAGCGTATCCGAGGGATGATAGCAACCGTGGATGTAACCTATCAGAAATCAGTGACCAGATCTGAAATTTTTGAGCGATTAGGATAGCTTCTTCAGTAACATGTGCTGGTCTTATGGTTGATATCCGTGGTGTGGTTGAGATATCTTAACGATGCCAATGGAATTGAACTCGGATGAACATCTCTACTTTGATCAGATCTGTTTTCGTATTTTTCGCGTGACATTGGTAAAGTTCGGCTGTCGCATGCTATCTTTCTAAGGTTCTGCAGCATCTAGCTATGGTCTTTTTACACATATTCCGGTATTCACACCTATGGAAACAACAGCGACATCTATTAGTGATTTAAACCAAAGGATCACAAAAAGCCGATAGATTTCTACTTAGTCCATTGCACTGATAGATTCTCGTAAACTTTTCCCATCATACTCTGAATACGATGAAGAGCGAAAGCAATTCAGATCTAGGTTAACCAAAAGTCTAAGAAACGACCGTGAGCAGTGGTGGACGACAAAAGCAAAAGAGATGGAAAAGACAGCGGCTGTAGGCAACACCAAGCAGCTCTTCGGACTAATAAAAGAAACTGGAATTAAGAAGTGTGAGGCGATCTCGGTATAGGACGACACTTATCTGCTCAGCGCATATATATCTGGTGCCCCCCTTGTACCAATATTTATGTATTCAGATGAATAAACATCAGCCCAGACGTTTAGAATGATGGGCGAAACTTTAAGTAGCAGTCCAGCTGGCTCTCAGCTACTGTACAACTACCCATCATTCCCAGACAGTGTGGATGGAATATTGAAGTAGGTCCCCCGACTCTATCTGAAGCTTAAAAAGCTATAGCTAATCTGAAACGATCAAGGGAGGATGGATTGGCTTCAGAGATCTTTAAGTGTGGTGGTCTAGTTTTGGCAATTAGGCTGATTAAAATCTGGGAGTTGGACGTAATCCCATCTGACTGGTCACAATCACTTATTTTCCCAATATATAAGAAGGGGTCAAAATCATCCTGTGGAAACCACGGAGGGATTAGTTTGGCTTATATAGCATCTAAAATACTGGCCTCAATAATTATCGGACGCCTAACCAAGACTCATGAACTGAAAACACGAGAAAATCACGCTGGCTTTAGACTTAGTCGTGCCTGCATCGACCACATTCACCATTTGTCAGGTTTTCGAAAACAGGCATGCTTATCGGCATCCGAAAATGATAGTTTTTATTGACCTACAAACAGCATTTGACTCGACCGAGAGGTTCTGTGGTAGTATCTGTCATTGGGATGTGTACCTCAGAAGTACATAAACCTTGTGAGGGCTCTGTCCTTGAACACTATCAGTCGAGTCAGCTTATGGCGAACTGTCATCTGATTTTTTAACCTCAAGTGTTTTCCGACAAGGCTGTCCACTATCTCTATTTCTGTTCAACTTCATCGCAAACTCACTACTGGTAATGTCCTCATCGACTGAATTTTCAGCTATTTATCTCCTCCTAGGAGTTCCACTTATCGACTCAGAGTACGCAGATGACGTATTCATGTTTGATGAAGGCGCTGATAAAATGCCGAGTCTTTTGGCAGCACTGAACAACAATGCCAGGATGTTTGGGATGCGTCTCTACCCCTTCACATTTGCAACTAACCTGGGTTTTATGCGTAATTTTAGCAATGAAATGGTACTCCTTGTGAGATTACGCTATTAGTAAGACCCTTATACATGTTCAAGTTTCATTTACGTATGATTTTCTCTTTCATCAATATACGGAATTATTCAAGCACTATTGAATGCCATATTGTGTAATGGTTTTTGTGCGTTTGACCATATCAGTAATTTTATATTGGTATCAGTAACATTTTTTATTTTACATACTGCAAATTATGCACTGGATTTTGTCAAACAACTAGAATAATCTATTCAGTCTAGTTGAAATACCTACTATCTAGAAGCTGACTCATGTCTGGGTTATTAATACATTTGTGCATTAAGTTATATTTTCAAGTAACAATTTTTACCTTCGTGTCATTTTGTGAACATAAATTATCATGTTCATTTGTTCTAGACTCCATTCATTTTCCCTTATTTTCCCTATATTTCCATTGATTCAGATATGGGTATTTAATGCTTTGAAATTAGAAGAAAAAAGACATTTTGTCAGTTCATTTTGTCGTACACTTGCAACACTACTACCACATGTGATCAAAGATATAGAATTAGTCAATTTCCCACAAGATATAAATATTTCTCCACTTAGCCAACATGAAACATTGGATGCTTTGCTTAGTAAGCAGAACGAGTTAACGTTTATGGTTTCTTTTCGTTAATTTGTCTCATAATTTTAGAATGGGTTGCATATTTTACTATGCACTTGAATTATATCAATTGTTTTTTTTATACCTGGGTTAATTGAGGTCTGTAATATCACCTTAGCCGTCACATACAAAAATGTCTGAAGGCTGAGTACATGAATCTGTAGTTGTTAATGAGTTACACTGAAAAAAACGCATATGTATTGTCTAAAAGTGGATGAAATATTAAGTTAATGATATCACTGACTTCTCTGGTCCAGTAGTTTTTCGGTTGTTATATGGTATTTTATTAAAGTCATATTTTTTGTCACCGGACTTAAGAATTCAATTAATGTTATAATTCACTTTTTATCTATCTATTGATATTATCACTTTTAACACCTTATGAACTGATTGAAATAACTAAGTTTCACCGTTGTAAATAAGAGAACAACTGTTTAATAAGATTATCAAAGTTTATTGCCTGATTTGGGTTGAGGATTTTGTATGGAATGCTTAGTTTATCAATTAGTTACTTCGACATTCTAAAATTGTCATGTCAGGTTAGACAAAGTGAGTGCAACTATGTTATTAAAACAGATATGAAAATGTAACATTTCACTTTCATAAATTAAGGTTACCTTAAATATATCAGTTAGGATTGAACCTTATAGGTTATCAAAGTTATCTTAAATGTTCCACTCGATAAATCTTTGTATTATAGTAAACCAATTTGTTACATATACCGGCCGTTCTACTCAACGTCAACGTCGTGCACCCTTCGGCCTCACAATTTGTTGACAAACCACCTGTCAGAACACTAGAAAATCTACCAGGTTTTTGGTCTGGTTTGTTTTATTTAGACTCAGATTGACAATTCTAAAGGCAGAATTCAAGACCACTAAATACCATTGATAATAATTCTCATTATGTACATCACCAAGGGATTTATGATGTAAAGCCGAATGATAAGTTTTCAATTAATCGATTGTAATTTAGGACAGCAAAAGATATCACAGCAGTTAATGGGTCAAATGAAAGCTTACGACTTAGCTAATGTAAAAATATTATGAATCGTATTTTGAATAGCTACACATAGAAAATGTTCTAACAGATTTTCCGAACAACGGCTCTCCGTAATTTTTCATTTTCAGTCCTTTCCTCATTTTTAACAACCGCCTATCTGCGTTTGTTAGAAATACATATATAATGAGGTACAGTCGACAAAACTTTGTCAAGACTAATTTAGCTCGTAGTTAGATGGAATTATTTTGATGAGAAGAATGTGTATCTCCGTTGTTCTCTGATGTATTAGAGTTAGGCTTTAGAATGACGTGTGGAATTTACAGAATTTTGTAGTTTAATCTCGCCGATTGATAAGATCCTAAGTTACTGGAGTATCATACTACCAGTGCTGGGTTCGAGTCCTGAAGTGAACATCAAATCTAAGATGCTGTCGATCCCTGTTGATGAGTCTCAAACTGGGCAAAACGTGCGTCCTTGATTCTACTGCTAACCACCATCCATTTTTGCTGAAGACATACCATCTTGCTTACAAATTATCTACTATCTTATAAAAAAGAAATTTTAAATTTAGTAGATATTTATCATTAGTGTAGGAGATTGTTGAATTTGTATCACGAGTTAACCCCTAATTAGATAACCAAGAAGGATTGGATAACTGTTTCGTCTCGTTATGGTACATTTCAGCAGTGCTCATCTCTGTTATGGTCGTGGATGACTCATACTAGAATGAAATGGCTGCCCAATATTTCCCAATTTTCAATGCTTACCCATAATGTAAACTAAGAAATTGTTTTAGAATTAACACTTTAACGAATCATTCTTTTCCTTTCTCTCTGGCTAAAATATTTTGATTAGATCCTGAATATATGTCAACGGTTGGTACCGGTGGCGATGAGGATAGTGTTGGCGGTGATGAAAAGTCAGGTGATAAAGATAAGTCGGATGTCAATGCACCGGTCACTGATTCATACCGTTCATTGACAAAACGTGAAGAAGATGATATACGACAATTTCTAGATGAACTTGATGAAGAATCAACACTCTTAAATGCTGCTCAACTAACAGAACGTTTACAAGAACAGTTGGCTCACATTGAAGGTGTAAGATGATTTATGTTTGGTCTTTGGATTTTCCCTTTTTATTTCTAAGAATAATTTATTTAGTAGTATATTGTTATGAAGTTAATCAAGTCCGCGATACAATCTAACGTCAATTGACGATTGTATTTTGGCTATCTCGGTAGTGTGTATTTATAGTGCTTTTCACAAAATCTATATAGATGGTATTTGGTCTGGTTTTATGTAAAGTCGTTAGTTTTTAAATTGGTTGATGAGATCAATTTACGCATAGTAAAAGCCAAATAGGCTCATTTCTGATTTTCACCAATAATAATAATAATAACTCATTGGTATTGATTGTTTTAATCTTCCCACTTGTATTTAGGACTGTAATAATTCAGTCTCTTTTAGCTTATGTGCATCCTATGCAAATCACTTCGATATTGCGATCAAGTCGCAAGTGTTTTTGGGCAGAGTTAGATGGTGGTTCATAATGGAATCGAGAACATGCCTTCCGCTTCATTTAGGACTCATCATCTGGATGTATCTACATCCCATAAAAATTCACCCTATTAGGCAAGGTCGTGGATATGTGGACTTGGTAGATAAGTGGTTATCGCGATGGTGTTGGGTGCAGATGTTACTGGGTTCGAGCTACTGAGTAGACATCAACTCTTGGATGTAAGTACATCGGACTGACAAGTTCCAAATAGGACAAAACGAGTGTCTTGGTTTCCACTGCTAGCCATCATCTACCTCTGCTGGTATTATTATTGGTAATAATAAGGATTTAATTGTCTAGTTGGTACTATTTATGACTGAACTATTCACTTGTTCATACACTATGTATGTTGTTCATATGCTTTTTTTTCCAATAGACAAATGTTCATTCAATTATGTCTTCTGAATCTCAAGTATTAAGTCTTATGACAACATTGGACAGTGCTATTGAACGAGCTGAATTATTAGAGAAGCAATTAAATATTTATTATAGTTTTTTAGAGGTTTGTTATTAATATTTCTAAATAATAAATTATAATTGTTTTCTTTTCTCTGTATATTTTCAAGTGTTTTTTTTATGTATTGATATGATCAATTTTATCCTGTAAGAACTCTTGATGAGATCAATCATTCATAATCAATATAGCAAGCCTGTTACTAATGTACATTGTCTTAAGCCGTTACAGCACATTAATATATCGACTTAGTCTGGTAGGTGTAGACTACCTGGTTGGAATCGCGAAACGATAGCAACCGATGGTTAGAGACCTTGCATGTTAGGCTAAGAACCACCTTACCCTCCAAAGTGACTTCTAAATTTGTCACCAATACAATATTCGGGTCGTGACTGAGGGGTTTACAGATTTGATTATTTAATAGTAACCAATTTTGTCGATCGAATTCTAATATGGTCACTTATTTAAATGACATGAACTCATAATACTCTGTTGTTCATCTGCCTGGGGATATTCGTCAGAAAACCTAGTATAACGTTTTTACAAAATTTGGATGGTGTCTAGTAGAATCCAGGATGTGTCCATTTGGGGCTTATCAACTGGATACACGTACACCCTGGTGTACGATGGAGAAGCTCTGGAAGAGATGGATATTTTTAAGTATCACCATTACTAACTGATGGGGATCTGATGCATATGTGAAGACACAGATTGGCAAAACAAGAACAGCATTTTTACAATTGAAGAACATACGGGACTTGAAACAACTATCAATCAACATCAAAGTGAGAATCTTCAATACAAACATCACGATAGATGTGTTATACAGAGCAGATACCTGAAGATACTACAAATCGGTTGTTGACTGGACATCAGTAAAAACTTACTGCGTAAGAAAACAAAGCAGCTTCCAGTTGTTGAGGAAATTGAGAAAGGACTCAGGAGATAAATAGGATATCCTTCAGCAATCATCGAGTCAATCCTCAACCTAAAATTGTGAATGCAAAGGGAAGAGAGACCGACCAAAGAACACATTGCACTGAGAAAAGTGGACAGACATCAAAAGAATAAACAGCACTTGCAAAAAACTGGAAACGAAAGCTGAATTTATTGTAGGTTGAATATTACTGGTTGGCGACCTATGCTCCACAAGCGGTGACGGGAGTAAGTAAGTATTTATGTACTGTTATGACGATATTAACAATTGTGATAATTATGATAGTTATCATTATTATCAGACCCATTTTGATTATAAATATTTTTCTTCAATCAATGATATTCCATTCACATATAGGAAGTTGAAGATGCAATGTCTACCCTACGTGATCATGATCAATTAATCCAAACTACAGTAGATAATCGCGCAAATTTATTAAATGTACTTGAAAAACTAGTTGATCGGTTAGATGTTGATCCAAAGTACTTCCATGTATTAATGAAAGGTGATTTAAGTACATCTGATGGTATTGCACGTTGTATCGAAGCTGCTGGATATTTGGATCGTTTGCTGAATTCAGAATTTAAAGAAGGTTTGTATAATAATATTCCTATCGATTGTTTTGTCATTTTGTCTGTATGACCAAACGGAATAGTAACTACACGTAGTAATCAGGTCAGAAACTTCGAAATGCTTCACAAACTAATCTCATAATTGAAGAATTTATTAATTGACTTATTGTCTGCAAATATTATTACCCAGTTTCAATAAAGAGAGAATCCGGAGTCTGTTAAACACTGAGTGGAAACGGAAGAGTCTTTTTTGAATTGTATTTCACTCTGTCTGAATGCAATATATAGAGTTGATCACTTGATTCATTTAGTGAAGGTTTAGTATGTGATCCACTTGATTTTTTCATGGATCCGCCTAGTCTAATTCTGTCAGCTTGCTCTATTTCTACTTGCATTGAAGCTTCATCAAGTGATAACCGATTAGAAATTGTATAATTTAAGTGTAATAGTTACCAACTTAAAAATTCACACCATCGGTTTCTCAAGTCTATAGAATCAATCCACTTCTAGAATTTCAGTCATCCAGTTAATTATATCACTAGACCTTACATACTTGAATCATTTGATTTAAAACTACCTAAATAAATGTAAGTTGTATAAAATATCTATTAGTTCTACATAATAAATCTATATGATCTAAGCACTCAGAAAGTACTCACATTATCGATTACCAATACAATGTATATCTCTTTTTCCGTGTGCACAACTTTCATCATTGAGATGATCCATTTTATGATGCAGAGAAATAAACATTAGATTATTGATCATGTGTTAATGTAAAAAATAAACAGGATTTGTATTATGTTAATGATTGTCATATATCTTCTTTATTAATGTAAATTATCAACAACTTACATGGTATATGGTTATCTCACCACAAACTTATTTTATCTCTAGAATAGTTAAATCAATCAACTGATGAAGACACTTGACATTTATTTCCTATTAGCTTGGAAATTTACTTATAAGTGTGTACATCCAATTGTATTATTCCACAGGATTAGCTTCAAAGAGTTCAGATGGTCATTAATAAGCCATTTAAATTTCCAAATTTAATCAGTTTTTAATATGAGTAAATTTTCATTCAATATAACAGAAAGCTAGAAGAAGCAGCTAAATCAAGACATGGTATATCGTGAACTCATTGATTTGTTAAATTAAATCATGTTAGAATGTGTCAACTGCCTTTATTAAAATCTCCATGATTGTCGTCGTAATCAGTGTTTGAAGAACGCATTTAAACGAACAATACTGGTTTTAATTAGATCATCATCAGGCTTTACCCGAATATTATAAATGAATATTTACATGAAAATATTAAACTAATCAAGGGAATTTATGAGACCATAGTCACAATTGCATAACTACACATAATACGTGAAAAGTAAGAAAATTATAGTAAAAAGGCAATGGTACCTATGGTAGTGATAATAATAATAAAATAACAAAAGTTCTATTCATTAGTTCAACATAGGAAGTAGGTCAAACATAGATAAACAGACTTTAAAATAATAATTACAAAACATTTAAATTATGTAACATTCAACGTGTGAACAGCTAGAATGCAGCTGGACGATCTAGACTTCGCAGATGATCTGGCTCTTCTATCGCACACTCACCAACAAATTCAGGAGAAGACGACCAACGTAGCAACAGCCTCAGCAGCAGTAGATCTCAACATACACAAAGGTAAAAGCAAGATTATCCGATGCAACACAACATGCACATATCAAATCACACTTGACGGAGAAGCTTTAGAGGATGTAAAAACCTTTACATATTTGGGCAGCATCATTAATGAACACGGTGGATCTGATGCAGATGTGAAAGCGCAGATCGGCAAAGCAAGAGCAACATATCTACAACTGAAGAACATCTGGAACTCAAAACGACTGTCAACCAATACCGAAGTCAGGATTTTCAATACAAATGTCAAGACAGTTTTGATGTATGGTACAAGTATTTATCAACAGTTGTCTATGCAAAATACTTCGGATCGGTTGGTCAGACACTATTTGCAACAACCTACTGTGGGAGAGAACAAACCAGATCCCATTGGGAGAAAAAATCAAGAAGAAGCTCTGGAAGTGGATAGGACCCACATTGAGGGAAACACCCAACTGCGTCACAAGGCAAGCCCTCACATGGAATCCTCAAGACCAATGGGGGTGAAAAGGAAGACTAAAGAACACATTACTCTGAGAAATGGAGACAGGCATGAGGAAAATGAACGAAAATTGGATAGAAGTGGAAAGTAAGGCCCAGAACAGAGTGGGTTAAAGAATGCTGGTCGGCGGCCTATGCTCTATTTGGAGTAACAGGCGTAAGGAAGTAATTGACATTCAACGTGTGATTCATTAGATGCATGAGTACATAAACAAGTAGAAATAAAAAAAGACAAACGAACACATGGTATGGGAAAAAATTGATAAAATCTTCTATTAAGTCATATCCAACCAAGGAAGGCATAAGGTTGTCACGAAGTTCAAAACACTATGTCTTCTGGTGTATATAGGAGATGCAGTTGAAACCAATTGGATAATGACAAAAGTATGTAATAAATCAATCGGAATAATGTTCCGTTCTATTATTTAAACTTGGATTAATTTTAACCTGGTTATTTATTCTCTGAAGAAGTGACTTACCCTAAGTCACGAAACGTCAGAAAAATCCAATTTTCTACTTATCGGGATATTACAAATATATTATTTTTATTTATAACAATCAACCCAATGCTCAATTTATTCGAAATTATCAAATCAAACCTTGATAATGACACCTAAGTATGACTTTTGTTATCCAGATGTGCCAAAATAGAGCTATATATCGTCTTTATCTGGCCCATTTAAGATTACATGCATATCTTCTAGGTGTTGTTGCGTAATCTATTTCACTGTGATCATTGACTCATAAATTCACTTGATTTGTTTGATATTTTCATATAAATATTTATATTCAGGTAAAGCCTAATGACGATCTAATCAAAACCAATATTGTTCGTTTATTTGTTTTGTTCTATTTTCACAATTGGAATCTTCAATATTATTTATAACCGTCGATTGTTACGTAGAATAAGTTTTAAACTTTTTTGTGTCGTTACATTAGTTAGGTATCGAAATTAAGAATTTTCGATCATAGTTACTTAGTTTATATTCACTCATTGCATTCACTATTATGGGTTATGTATCTAGAGTCATGTAAGATTCCCATCTTTATTATTAACGTTCAGGTGAAGAACATCTTCAAGCTGTAGATGAACGTATGCAAGAATTGAGAAATTTACGTGATTCGTTTGCCACAAAATTATCAGGTTTTGTAAATGATGCAATGTTACGTTATGCCAGTCAATTAGGATTTGTTGTCAACACAGGGATTAGTATGCCGTCATCAGATACAATGTCAACAATATCAAATAATCAATCTGGTGTTGGCGGTGGTGGCGGAGGAAGTAGGAAAACATCAATGATGATTACAAGTTCTTTTCGTGTTGCATCTGATTTATATGCTGTTCAAAGAACTGACTTACTTCAACTAACTCCACTAGTTGGTAACTGGTTACAAGCTAATAGAAAAGATTTATATATTGGAATTAAAAGGGTAATAATGTGTTTGTTTTCTTTTACAAGAAGAATTTGTAATTTACACTAATTTCATTATTGCTAAAACATCCCTTTTCGGTTGCCTGGTTGTCTACTGCTCACCCATGCAGGTGATTACATATGACATTTTAATATTTTATGTCAATTGTATTATAAGATACCGATACATCTTTACAGCTACACGGCAACGTATCATGTTATTAACTGTGGTTTACTCAAGAAGAGTAATCTTTTCTTCTAGTTGACGTAATCCATAGCTTGCTATCTTGATGTGATAATCGGATTTGCATATTGTAATGATCTATGAGGAGCGTTGAGATTTGAAGTAGTAGGCTTAGTGTTCGAGAGAAATATGATATTACTAACTGCACAGAAATGATGTCATCAAACTGTGTGTTGTTTGCAAGTAATTGAGAAATCTACAATCCTATAATGTTTGTAGAATGAAACATACTACTTTTTATAAATGAGTAGTAATTATAGTAGTTGTGACATTGACCCATATTTTTTGCTACAGTCCATATAAAATCATATAATTTATTTCTATAATTGTTTCTAGATGTATATTGAAAAATCACAAAATTTTTTTAAACGACAAATACAAGAAGTATTGAAGTGTACACAAGACTCCGTTGCTAATCTTGTCCGACCTGGGAAATGTAAGTTAAAATAGCTTTTTGTTTTCTTAACCATAACGAATTTGTAAACGCAATATTTCCGTTAACTTTTTGGTCATATATTATATATTCATATATGCTTAGTATCATTAAGCCACTGGATAGATATGGTTTACAATAAGTCATTGACAAATTAATGGCTATATTTGGCGAGGTGGCCAGTAAGGTTAAAATTCCTTTGACTAAGTGATAGAAGATGCTTCGTTTAAACGATAGAGATTTGTTAGAAGCCCATTTGAACATGAAATTATCTAATCTCGTCATTCACTCAATTCCTTAAACGTTTGTTAATTCGTCAAATCTTGTATCATTTTCACGTAACCCTTCAGTCCGCGTGACTATCGTAACCAAGGCTTGGAGACTCTTTGTGACATGGCTCAGAATCGATCACAATGACGTCGGTGTATACACTCTCTGTCTTCCCTTAAACTACGAGATTAAAATGGCTTCATATCTTTCTTTCTACGAACTAATCCTTTCTTCCTGTACTATATCATTATTGCAATCTTTCTTTTCTATATTATCACCGTTGAATTCACTACTTCTATGAATTTGTTCATCTTGTGCTAATGAGGTATGGCAACTTGGACCGATTCATACATGTGCCTGATCCTACGTTGTAGCTGACTGACTGATCAACACTATGGGATTAATCGTTTATAAGTTACATTGTCGTTATACTTAATATTAATGAACACTTCACCATCGAAATGAGTATTACATAATGAATGTACACTATTTTATGACTTTAATTCATAAATGCCGTAATTGATAGTATCAGTAGATATTTTAATGAAGGTGTACTCAGTCTCCTAGTGGTACCGGTTTTACTCAAAATATCAATTTTATGAAAGTTGTATTTTCCCTTAAGGTTATGTGTACGATCTTTATGATGCAGTCTTTAATATGTACTACTTATAAAGAATTAAAAAAAACTGACTTACAAATACTAAAAATGTTTCTTTAATTGTCACTAAGGATAATAATGAGTTATCATTTCAACTGTTGATTGATATTTTTAGTAATCGTGATGATTATCATATCAAGGTGGGATCACTTATTCCGTAGCCTCTATTTATATTCTATTTTTTTCTTGTATGTATTAGCTAAAGAAATTCAACGCTTAGAGAATATGCCATCAGATGTTGGAAGTGTTATGTCATTACATAATTTAGATTCAAATCTTTTAACTCAAGTTGAATCGGTAAGTTTTTTTTGTAAGTTGGATGAACTTTCTTTTTATTGAACTCACTTTTTTAAATATTTCAAATGTCTACTTTAATTTCTATCAGTAGAGAGATTTAATTTAATAAATTTTATTCGATTGATCAAGTAAACATCGAAATATATTGATAGTTATATTGTCGCTAGACCTCATTAATCTTCATTGATTTCTGGTGATGGTCCACGATAGTGCACGACCACTACTTTTCTTCACTTTCTATTAATTATTCTACTTCAAATACTAATTGTTCTTATATTGTTTCATCTTTTGCCTCATGTCTCACCAGTGCTAGCGATTCAAGTGCTGTATTATTTCATGTGTTTATTGTTAATCATGTTTTTTTCCTACTTTATTTTTTTCTTTTTAAATAATAGATCTTTGATAGTTGCTTCGATAAAATTCTAACCCTAATTCGTACAGAACAAGCATTTTTAAATCAATTCTTCGGTTTTCATTTGAATGCATCACAAATTGAAAAGTCAGTAAGTATGTTTAATTGTTTTGTTTGTTTGTCTGCTTTTTCCCTTTACAACGAATCAGAAACCACAGGTTAAACTAGAAAGTGATTTATTACAATAATAAATCTCTCTCTTAATAGGATACAATTTTCAAACGGAAATCGAATTTGCATGTTAACGTTCTTATTTAAAAGTGATTTAATTTTTCTTTTCTCCTAACCTACAACATTTTTTCCTCTTGTTTACTTCTCTAGATTTTCATTTCTTTTTTTAAAGGAAATATGTTTTATTGTATGTCCTGACACTTCTTTTCATCATTTTATAGTGATTTCTTAAAATTTCAGTCATCGAGTCAGTAACTACATAGAACTTCGTACGTACATACATCAGTTCGAGTTGCCATACCACACTAGCACAAAGATACGATTGCCGATTTAAATTTCATAGTGGTAGTGGCGGTAAGAGTATAATCAGTAGTCGGAAAGATTAAGGTTTGTAGATGTTATTCAAGGAGTATAATACAGTGAAATAGATTCGGAAAGAGAAAAGAAAGGTACGTTAAGAATTCAGAAGATTAGGATTTGGGTGAACACAAAGAGTGGATGCACTTGCTCCATTGCAGACGATTTAGGGCCATGTCATTTAAGGTCTCTAACCATCGGTTGCGATTTTAAGAAAAAATTATTTTTTATAGAGTGATTCTATATACTTGCGCATGAATTCACTTGGGAGGATGAGACATTTTCATCCATTGAACCACTCTATCTTGTTTTAATTCTTTGATTCTAAGTATAAATTCAATGCTTTCTATACTAATAATATTCTTGTGATAGAGCAGTAATGATATGTTTTCTTTTAATGTTGTCACGATGATTAACATCTTAGTGGTATATTCTGACGAAAAATAAAGTAATGGTAACTGTTGAGAATTACTTATGGACTGTTATCACATATATTCTTTTTGGATAACTATTAAGTAACTATATTATACGTATATTCATATTCCTTTCATTATAAGCTTGCGTTTGATTTTTTGTACCATTTACTATTCTAAAGCTATTTCCAATTTATTTGTTTCACTCTCTCACAATCAACGCTACATTTTGGCTTGATTTTATACAGATGTTATTTTCTATTTTGTGATATTATGAGGTCTGGTTTGTTTGTATATAAACCAAGTATGTTTGAAATATAGGATCCATATAGTGGAGACTGATACTGATATTCTGGAATGGTTTAACATAAAAAATAACCAATCAACATTAAGGTCTACAAGAAAAACTGTGAACAATATGTGGAGGGATTCAAACACTGCACTTTAATTTGAAATTTGTGCTGATGATGTTGTTCAGAATAACAATGAAAGTCCTACAACCAAAGCATCCAGCTCAGAGAACAAAACTCCATCAAAAACTTATGTCCTGGACTAAACCGTCTGGGTTAGGCAAGAAGCCAATATCTCAGTGGACCAATGAGAACTCAGAGTTGACTCTAGGTTGCTCGTATTGGTTTATGCGTCATTGGTTTGGTCAATAACCGTTGTTCTAATTGGTGATCACACAATAATTAACAGACCATAAGGACATTGAATAAGACTTTTTCCAAATGATTGATAATTTTCATTGACTTTATGAATGTTAAACCGAGATTTCTTTGTATGATGGCAATGAGAAAAAGGTGTTTAAACTAAGGTCTTGAGTTATTCTTTTTTACCGACGTAATTTTTCTCCCCTTTTTCTTTTGGATAGTTATGTTGTGAAATGATGGGATAAACAAAGCTTAGGTTAAGCATAAAATCACAAGGGGAAAATAGAAAATAGTTCAATGAAACTGTAATTCTTTATCGATTTAAGTGTCTGGTATATGTATTGATAATTTCAAATCACCAACCAGCTGGATATGCAATGTTTCCTGTTTTATATATGTATGTCGTTTGAATGAGAGCCATGGGTGGTCAAAATGAGATATATATTCGCTATTGATAAAGTCATTGACATTTGGTCTAAGCTATTTTACTTGATATAACCAAAACAATATGAAACGTGAAATCAATGATAGCAATTCTTACGAGGATAGTTATAGTGAAATGGTATGCATGTCAGTTATTCAGTTACAATGTAGGACCAGGCACATGCATGCATCGGTCCAAGTTGCTACACCTCATTAGCACAGCAAGACGAACACCGGATTCATAGAAGCAGTTAACTCAATGGTGTAATATATAAAGGAAAGATTTTATGTAAGGATATAGTACAGAAAGAAAGAATTCGTTCGTAGAAAGAAATATATGAAGTGATTTTAATCTCGTAGTTTAAGGGAAGACAAAGAGTGTATACACCGACGGCATTGTGATCGATTTTGAGCCATGTCACCTAGAGTCTCCAAGCCTTGGTTACGATAGTCGCGCGGACTCCAACCAAGTAAGGAATTCATGCAATTGATTCTATGTCATCTCTCACATCCCCACTTAACCATAGATTATTTATTTAATCGCTTACATTCAAAAAGTATTATCATTCTCACATAAACGTACCCATCTCTCATTCTGTGTATGTATGTTCTTTTTTTCTCCAGCATAATACTGTTATGTATAAAAATTATAAAGGTGATGAATTATCTACTTTATTCGATTGTATGGTTCATTTATTCGATAGTGTTGAACAAGATGTTTTGAATTTAATCACTCATTGTGAACAATTACAATCTATATTGATTATGCCATTATTAATTACAATTTCACGTATCACAGAAAATGAAATTACATTAACATCATCATCATCATCATTATCATCACCTTCACAACAAACCACAACAACCAATTTGGATAATTCTAATTCTAGCAATGGGATTGGCAATACTAGTCAACTACGATTAGAATCACAAGATTCTGATAAAATTCCAATGACATATATTGCAAATTTTTTATCACGACTTACTATTGAAACAAAACGAGCTTTTAATCGTCTTGTTGTAAGTGATAATTCTCTTTTTTTAAAAATTTACTGACAATAATGTTGCCTGTTTTTTTGTTGTTGTTGATTCAATATTGATTAACTGAAAAAGTCATATAGAGATCTTATTTTTCTGATTCTGAACGTGCTTGTTAGTGATCCCTGATGAAAAGTTCGAAATGGAAGACGAAACAGCTATCTAATTCTCATAATTTGTTCTTTTCCAAGTTAATATCAATCTATAACAATTGATTGTTTTCAGATTCAGAAAAATATCTCAAACCTTGGCCTAAAAGTATGGAGTAGTCAATAAGAGCTCACTCAGATATTGACCCATAGGTTTTAGGTTTGATCTCTATTCCACTTCAATCATAGTTTTTACTTTAACTCTATGATCGAAACTACCTATCTCTCTGGTCACAGTTTCTTATTAGAACTCCGGGAATTACCTTTTCAAGGTAATCACTAGTGAGCACATGATTATTACTATAACGAAAGTTTGTGGGGACAGTTAAATTATGACTAACATTTATTTTATTTATTTTAACATAAACATTGGTACAACGAGGCACCAAATACATATGTGCCACACAAATCATTCGATTTGTGTGAGGGCTGGGATACTGCCCGGGTGCCCAGACCGAAGCAGGTGGTTTTCTTAGGGGCCACACCCCGAACCTTGGACCTAAAGGTCTGACCCATAAAGCAATGGAGCATCGTGAGGAGATGCAGTCCCATGGTAGCCGGTGACCAACAATTGGTTCATACACCATTTGTTGCTGCAGGATACTGAACTCCATGTACACCATTGGTTTGGAATCCGGTTAAAGCGCCGGACATTTGCTTTTCGTCCTCTCATTTTCGTAAACAACACCCCCGCCACGAGAAGGCAGTGAGTAGGACTTCCCTGGCAGAGGCTATATACGCATGGCCATGTGAGAGCATTTCGAGAGGGAGAGCGGACTCTCCCCGCATTCGGCCGTACCAGGGCATTTGGGGACCTATGACTAATCTAAGTTGAACAAGCAGTAAAAATCATGAACGATTGAAAAGCTGTTCTATCCTAGTACGAAACTTTCCACCGGTACAAATTCACATCACCAGGGATCGAACCTTTTGTTCTCGGGAATCGGAGCTGTGATTCAGTCATTCAGATAAAAAAACCTTGAGTGGTTACATATGTAAACTATGAGGTACGACGTTTTAGTGACTAGAGCACGTGTCTTGCAATCATCGGATTTTAACCATACTCCGAACATTAGTTTAAACTGTCAGCTACTATTTATGTATGGTATAAATAGTAAGTAATCACATTCATTTTATATATGTTATAATATCATTTGCATTTTTTTAATATTCTTCATCAGGAGCGTCTAATTATTTCATTTAAAACAAGCAAACCGTGTAAAAAAGTACGATGTGGTGTACTATCAATGGTTCGCACTTATATTGAATTCGCTGAATGTTCAATGACCGTATTTTCTAAGAGTTCACGTTTAGTTGATCTAGAACGTGCCCATAGAGAATTAGTACGATGTTTAATGACTGAAATTGATCGAGTTGCATCAAGAAGTGTGAAAACACCCGGTGAAGTTGTCCAGTTAGGTAAATTCATCATTATTATTTATTTTGATATTTTAAAAAATGCTCCATTGAACATTCTTGGAATATGATTTCATTGATTCTTGTTTCCCAGAGATATTCTTAAATGTGTCCTGTTTAACGGTCAATTTACACATCATATCTCGACACAAAAACATGCAATCTGTTCTAACTAATAACACTATTGTGATTTGAAGGTACCAGGTATAACGTTAAAGATACTGACTGATTATTATTATTATCCAAGTGCTTGGAATTCACTAAAAACTCACCAAATAATGTAATAGTGTAACTTACTGGATATTTCTGCCATTATTATTCAATCTAACCATTGTCTGCTTTAATTTATCTAATTGCATCAGTTTATATATCTTCAGCATTATTATTATTATTATTATTATTATTATTATTATTATTATTACTTGGTGGGTGCTCCTTATTGATTCACGAATTGTTATTGATATGATTTTATCCTTGAGACACCTTAATTCTAATTATTTATTCTGTAATCTGAATACTACTACTCCACTGAATTTAGTAGTATAGTTATTTCTTACAGTGAGATGTATGGGTCTAAACAAGTGATCTTTGCCGATCAGGATCTAATATTATTATATACTGAACAGATTTGAGTTAATATGTCTTAAGATCATACATTGGTTGACTCATATTTTCTTTAAAATAAAAAAAGAAGCTTTTAATCAAGTTTCTTTTGTTTATTTGTTATTTATTACAATTTTCTTTTTTTCTTTTCTATCTTGATATTAGAAAATTATCATCGTCTTTGTGATATTCTTCGACGTTTAAAAATGTCCAGCTTAGATGATTATCGTCAAGATGCTAAGAATCGTTATACTTTAGCTTTACAAGAATATACAAAAACATGTATGGGTCGTCCATTGGAGAAATTAGCAGTAAGTTCATTTGACTTTCTTTTCTTTATTTATTATTGTTTATGAAGTACATTATCCTCTCCTCTTACATATGAGATCAACCAAAGTAAATGGAATTTTTTTATGGCCACCATTTTGATTTCTTGAATCTCGCATGTACTATCGAGTCAAATACTATGAAACTACTAATACCCCTGAATAGCTGACTTTCATGGATATGGTAAGAATTCCATTAATACCTATGTTTTTTTCCTTATATCATCATCGGTTGGAGAAGGATTAGACTTTCGGCTTTCTTTGTATTCTAGATAGTGGGTGATGTATCTATGTACAATGTATTTTGGTACACAGTACTGTTGATCCGTGAATTGACTTACTTCCTGTTGACACAATAAATATCTATTAATGCTGTACAAAATTCTCTCGATATTATTCTGTGAACTTGCATTACTCAATTAATCATTAGTCAAGATTTAGCTATGATTACTCAATACTTGAATGTGGAGCCAGGGAGGTTTGTTAACAAGTCAATGAATTTCGATGATTTTTGAATAAAGGCTTACAGGCAGTTGCGAATTCCGTGTTGTGTATACTGTAAAAGAAGTTTTTTTTGGTGCAAACTGAAAAGGAAAATAGATTTTTATTCATGAATTTGTCAATTGACCATAGGATCCAAGAGATTGTTTACTTATAACCGGTCACACATGACCGTTTTGTGAATACTTTTTTATTATGTTTGCTCTGTAAAGTTTTAAAGCTTATTATCAGAAATGTTAATTTATCGTACCATCTGTGCAAAGCCAGGATAGCCAAATATAATCAAACCCATATAGTCTCCAAGAATTCCTACATCGAAGGGCTCAAGTTTTACAAACTTAGAGTGAATCTGTTGTCACCGATATCGTTATAAACCAGACATCTTACAGCCACACTGACATCAGTTTGTCATTACGTATAGATTGATTTCATTCACCACACCATCACAAAGACTAACACAACTATTCAGACACTCGAAGCTTTCAAATACAGGTCTTGATAGAGTACATTGCATTAAGAAAGCGCCGAGAGGAAGTATTTCAGTTAATGTAAATCAATTCAGTCGTCATCATTAATAACTGTGATTGCCGTAGTATCAAGCTGGCAGCTACAGTCGTGGTATCTAGTATTTCTAAAACGGGAGCACCATCAGACTCAAGTAAACAATTGCAAATTATAGCAATCATTGATAAATTCAGTTTGATTTGAGTGTAAGTGCCTTTTTTGCAATCGATTTTATCTAAAAGGCTGATATGCCAATAAGATCATAGTTCATCGCCATTAAACTACACAAATTATTGGTATGAGACACGTATTAATATTTTTGAACTCGTCATGTTGGAACAAAAAATTATCTTGTTTCATCATTATTCATGTGAGATGGTCAAATATGTAGGTCACTTGTTCTTCTATACACGCAAGAGTTGATATTTCTTGTTCGCTGAGTTAGGTGGTCTAGTCGTGAAATTTTCGTTGTCTTTCTAAACAACATTTTTTAGCACACAGTTCAATAAGAAATGATTTATTAGGATTGTCAGCATCGGTTTATGTGGAGACTATAGAATTTCTGTAGCTTTTAAACTGTGAGCTGATATTAGACCATTTCGGAAACCTAAAAGCACCAAGTACTGTTTCATCCTATCACATGGCTCGTCAGCAATGTGCATCGACAACCCTTCATCCGCGTATCGAACTCCAAACTTTCATTCTTTTTCGACATGCAACCGTATTTTATGTGTAACTTCAATCATGTATGCACAATACTGAGAAATCCCATACTAGGATGAAACCGCCGTCTAGCGCTTCTAAGTTTTCAATACTCATCTAATTAAGATCAGTTCATGCTGTATTCGAATTTTTCAGCAGCTGATCAACTTGTTCCGTTGACCCAATATTTGGTTTATTGTTGACCATAATCATTTGTTTTCTCTATTCTATATTTCAACACTCCCAATCGAACTCATATCCGTAGTTGTCTACAATAGCTAATAAGATTCCATGTCAGTAAAATAAGCTTTTGCTCATTTGTGGAGAGTCTAACAGCTTACTTCTCTTTCAAATACTTCTTGATCATGTTGTTTATGAAGAGAATATTAGAAACTTCACGACTTATTGATCCAGTACAAGGAACCCAACATCTCCATAAATATTCTTTATCAGCACTATTTCTATCTAAGTATTACTTTATGTACTTATTATTCATTGTTGTTTTGATACATTACATTCAATTTTTTCTATACATCATTTTAAAGAGCTTTTTTGAAAATGTTCAAAGTGCTTTGGATGCTGGTGTACGATCTGAAGTGGTTAGTTATCAATTTGCTTTTAGTAAACAGGAATTACGTAAAGTTATCAAAGAATATCCTGGAAAAGAGGTATGTAAATAATGAGGAAAAAAGTTCATAAATAATAGTTTATTTCATAATAATTCGTTGAAAGTATGAACAACGTTTGTGTGTGTATGTGTTTCTTTGATAAAAATTATTTTAATTTTTTATATACGTATAATGTTTGCCCCGACGTGCAATGTTTTATAGTGTAGGAGTAGGTTGGAAGAAAGCTAGAAGCGGCCAGACCAAAGCACGGCACAAATCTATGAATTCTCTGTCAAGTGGACTGAGTCATGTTGGTAGGTGTAGACTACCTGGTTGGTGACCGCGAGATGATAGCAACCGATGGTTTGAGACCCTGAATGACATGGCCCTAAATCGTTTGCAATGACGCAGGTGCATCCGCTTTGTGTTCTCCCAAATTCTAATCTTCTGAATTCTTTATGTCCCTTTTTTTCTCTTTCCAAATTTATTTCACTGGACTATACTCCTTGAATAACATCTTCATACCTTAGTCTTTCTGATTACTGCTTATACTTTTACTACCTCTACCACTAGGGGATTTGAATGTGTGTGCTAATGTGGTATGGCAACTCGAACTGATGTACGTACGTGCGAAGTTTCACTTTGTTGACTGACTGACTGAATTATCAGTTATGATTTCTATTGGACTGTTAGCAAGTGCATAAGGTTAGATGATCAGAGTTGTTTATTAGAAATAGTCTGACATAATGAAGATCTGTTTGAAGTGTGTATGTTTTTAACTGAGCCCAATTATTTGTGAAGTTTTCATTGTCATTATAGACATCATCATCAGTATCATTGTTGATTGGGAACTTTTAGTATGAGAAGAACTTTCTCTTCCAATGAGTTTTTCTTCTCTCTCATCTCTTTATTTGATATGATAACAGATTGATCATAATTTTCATTATATAATTATATAAGAGTATAAATTATTCACTTATAAAGGGGGTTTACTATTCGCTTTTCCGTCAAGTCCATAAAATAAGTGTTAGTATCTAGAATTACCTACTTAGGATGGTTGTCTGGTTATAAAACTAGTCAGAGATGTTCTAACCGAGAATAGAGCCTCAGTATTCCAACCGGTTGAATTAGAACTCTAATCGGATGAGCTCAAGTATTTAAATTCCTATCCGTTGGAGTCAGCTCACTGTGTTTTTGAATTGTCAGAGCCTTTTGTCGGAATTTTTAAGTTACCTATTTTTTTAGCTGTGTAGATCTTGCACTAAACTTGCTTGTTCTAGATTTATTTTTAATAAATAATTAATAATCATAACTATGTGTGCACATACAACTAGAACTTCTTTCGATGTTAAACACTGAAAATCTCGAGTTGAAAACTACACTTTCTGACAAATGTTTTGTCATTTGTTTACCATTTAAAAGAATCGAGAGAGGAATATAATCGATCTCATGCCCCCAAATGCCCTGGTACAACCGAGGGTGGGGAGAGTCAGCTCTCCCTCTCGAAATGCTCTCACATGGACATGTTCATACAACCACTGCCAGGGAAGTCCTACTCACTGCCTTGTGGCGGCGGTGTCGTTTACGAAAATGAGAGGACGAAAAAACGATTGTCCGGCGCTTTAATCGGGTTGGTGGACACGGTGAATCCACCCAGGGGAGTTGGAATACACTCATTCCAAACCAATGATGTGCATGGGTTCCAGTATCCTGAAGCAAAAATCTCGTATGAACCAATCGTTGGTCACCGACTGCCATGGGTCTGCATCTCTTGATGTTGCTCTACTGCCTTATGGATCAGACCCTTAGGTTAAAGTCTCCGGGTGTGGCCCCTTAGAAAATCACTTTTTTTGGTTTGGGCATCCGAGAAGTATCCAAGCCCTCACACACGAATCGAATGATCTATGTTGCATATCTGTTTGGTGCCTCCTTGTACCAATATTCATGTGTTCAATTAAATAAATAATAAATTCAGTCATATGATGAATCAAAAACAAAACAAACAAAATTGTTGTATCATTTGAACTGTAAGTAAAGTTTAATCGTTTTTATGACATAATCATTACATTATTGCATAATAAACGTGTTATAATAATAATAAAATAAGATTTGGCACGTCATGTCAGCACAGACAAGATCACATGTGAATAGTTCATAGATTAACTTTCACAATTTTAGATTGTCCGGTTCATATGTAAAAGTATCTGATTAATATGAATGATATTATTTCTTCATTGATTCATCATAAATAATATTATTTAAGAAGAAAGAAATATGCTGTATTTCCTTAATACTATTAAATCATTATTTATTTGAACATATAAATATTGCTACAAAGGGGCACCAAATACATATGCGCCACACAAGTTACTTGACTTGTGTGTGTGTGCCTAAATCGAAGCAGGTGGTTTTCTTAGACATCCATACCTCGAGCCTTCGACCTAAAGGTCTGGTGTACAAAGCAATAGAGCAACGTTAAGCAATATAGTCCCGTGATAGCCAGTGACCAATAATTGGTTCATACGCTATTTGTTCCTTCAGGATACTAGAGTCCATGTGCACAATTGGCTTGGAATGACGGCTTACCAACTCCTCTATGTGGATCTTACATGTTCACCAACTCAGTTATAGCGCTGTACATTCACTTTTCGTCCTCTCAATTTTGTAAACAACACCCTCATCACGATAAGTCAGTGACTGTACACACGTTATCTATGTAAGGTCATTTCGAGAGGAAGAGCTGACTCTCCCCACCCTCGGTCGTACCCGGCATTTATTGATAATTACATAAGTCCCAAGTAATTTAAAATATCTAATTGAATAATATTACATGACTTTGTATAAATAAAACATTGAAGTATGTTTTTCTTTCTCTCTCTTTATTTCAATTGTCCTCTTGTGATCGCATAAAATTTAAGGTAAAACATGGTCTGGAAAGTTTATGTAAAAAAGTTGAAAAACATTTATCTGATGAAGAAAATTTATTCCCTGTAAGTATATATGTCTGTGTATTTTCTATTTATAATTCCCATAGCCTATAATTTCTATCATCATATGTGATAATCAAGGTGTATGCGTTTATGTGTGTGTATGTGCGTAAAAGAGAGAAACAAAAGTTAACAATCATAGTAATAATTATTATATCTAACTTGAAAAGACTATCATTTCTTTCTATCATTCATTTGAAATGGTTGAAATGGTAATCAACAACAACAACAACTTAATGGTTGCTGTGATATAGATGAATGTATCGATGCAAATTATAAAATATTTATGTCACATCTAATATCTATTTTTGTACATCCTATCTCCATTTATCTTTAAAATACATTACTAGTTGTATTAACTGCATTGTAAAATTAAACTATGTGTTATGATTCTTTGTTTCATAAACCGAACATGACAAATAAATATTGTTAGTCAATGTAATCTCACGTTGCTTTCAATGATATTTATATGCTATTGTCTCTTTTCGCTTTCTAAAATCGTGGAAGGATACTTTTTCATGGAATATTTGACAAAATTTATGGTTTTGTTGACCTAAGAATGTGACCGCTGCACCCAAGAGACAACTACTTGAGTTTGGTTATACTCTCTTGTTTGATGATATCCCAAAAAACTGTGGAAACATCAATGATATCTGCTAGCACGGTAAACCACAAAGTTAGGGAGAAACACTGGATCTCAATATCATCTACCGCACTGATAGATTCTCGGAAACTCATTTCATCTGGTTCTGAACATAACGAAAAGCGGAGTCAGCTTATGCGCAAGCTGACAAGAAGTCTACGCAATGATCATGAACAATGGTGGGTAGCGAAAACAAGAGAGATGGAAAAGGCAGCGGCAATAGGTAATAGCAGACAATTGTTCAGACTCGTTAAGGAAACCGGAATTAATAACCCGAACGTTAGCAAAACACTCTCAGAGAAAGATGGACATATTATACATTCTCGATCCAGGAGATTGGATCGATGAACAGAACACTTTAGGGATCAGTTCACCTTGCCTTCAGCCACACTTCGATTTCCCACGATCTTTGGTCAACCTGAGTGGCAAGGTAATGTAGGTCCTTCGTCTCTTTACGAAGTTGAAAAAGCCATAGGAAATCTGAAGCGAGGGAGAGCAGCAGGCCCTGACAAATTTTCTCCTGAGATTTTTAAGGATGGTGGTTCAGTATTAGCAGTGAGATTAACTGAGGTCTTAGGTAGAATTTGGGAACTGGACGTAATCCCATATGACTGGTCTCAATCACTGATTGTGTCAGTCTATAAGAATGGATAAAAGTCCTCTTGTGACAATCATAGAGGAATCAGTTTGACAAATATAGTGTTTAACATATTAGCTTCAATAATTCTTCGACGCCTAACCAAAGCTCGTTAAGAACAGACGTCAATATCTGGCTTATTTAGTCTGATCCATATGATGACTGTATTTACTTGATTCGTTGAAAGTTTTGTCGTACAGAATTCAATTAACGTCTCTTAAATAGATTGATATTTTCCTATTATGTAATCACTTTTAAAACTTCATACATTTATATTCTTATTTTTGTTTTAATTATTAAATTTTAGGTTGTATGGAGATCAATACAAACAGAATTTATTACACAATGTTTACGTTTTAGTAATTTAATTCAACAATGTTATCCAGATTCAGGGATACAACTTGAATTCACTATAACAGATTTACAAAATTATTTTACTGAAATTGCATGTTCACGTTGAAATGGAACTTTCTTTCTTTATTTTTTTTCTTCATTACCCTTCCCGTTTATAGTTTGTATATTGACGTCTTAATCACCTCACTGTTTACACAAACACACATACACAAAACTACTGATGGATTATTCAGTTTCTTTAGCGAACAATGAATGTTTTAAAAGAAGAGAATCAAGTAACATCCAACTAATGAAATTTACCTTGATCGTATATAGAAAAATACGCACAATACACATTCAATTATACAGAAATTGTTATTTTCTTACTCTCAGTTTTTCTTATTTTTTTTCTTCTTCATTTTAATTGTTTGCTTTCATATGAATGATTCTATTTTCAATGATTTTGTTTTGTGATTTTCTCGTTTTTTTTTTTGTTTTGTTTTAATCTACTCTCCGTTCTGTGTAAAAAGATCAATAAATCTATAGCACCAGATGGGTTTTGTGGATATTATGGTGATTTCAATGGTTAAGATCATAGTTCGAATCTCTCGGGGGGTGGTCTGCTGAGGGGTCACACAATACAAGGCCCTCTGGGGTTACTGCCGGCCCCGATCCTGGATAAAGGAGGGGGGTTGGGTATGGGCTCTGCGACCTCATCCTGTAGAAAACTAACGCTAAAAAAACGCTAACCGGATAAAAAATAAGTTGAAGACGTGCATCTTGGACAAGGATAAACAGTAAGTAGTGTTGGGTTTGTTGGTCATTTAGATGAGTAATACAAAGTCGTATATAACTCACCTGTATCGGTTGTTTGGGACTCCAATGGACCAGTTTATGTTTTTTGGAATATGTGAATTCCATGTGTATTAACTCGATAATGCTCCAAAGCGGCCCCGATTGAATGTCAGACCTATCTGTTCTTGCTATCTAGATATTTCGATAAGTTATCTGTTTTCTTGTTTATTTTAACACATCATTACAACAATTAATTGGCATAACCTATTCCGATGCGTTTGTGAAACGTTTACCACCCTTCGCTGTACAATTTACAAAAAGAGACCAATCAGAGACATTGTGGCTGTCGGCAGAATTCATCGAAAAGAATAAACATTAATCAGACGTCTATTTCTGAACTGCTAACATCTAACTGGCCACCACTCAAAATTTTATCGCAGGGGTCGATCAAGAGATAAGAAAAGGAAACTTGTTGAAACACTGTGCTGAGAATCCTATTTTGTACCAAAAATATAATACTGAATAATGCTTATAATAATAAGTCACACGCATTATAAGCAGAGATGAATACTGGCTCCAAGTGTAATTAAAGATGTGCGTTTCGTCTCATTTGGGACTCGTTATTTGGATATACCTGGGTGCCGGAGTTGATGTTCATTCTGGAACTCGATTTTAATACAAATTTCTTCTCATGCCAACGCGACATCTACTGAATCCAGATAACCACTGACTTACGCAATCGGGTGAATTTTTATTTATATGTATTGGTTTTTTGAATCTTCGTATTGATGTTTAGGACGAAACACGCGTCCTATTTTTCACTGCTAGCCACTGTCCATCCCTACTCAAAAAGACACTTTTAAAAAGAATGATACTTTTCAATATCCAATGGCTTTTTTTTAGATTACGGTTAGGCATTAGTGTTAAGGTTTCAATCCCAGCTTTCATATCTTTAGCTTTATGCTACAAAAATATATGATCCAATATTACCCACTTTCCGTTTTGATTTACGTATTGGCGATCATGTTTTTGCTACCTTCAATTTATGCTATCATAGTATTAATTCATTAGTTTAGCATATCATTTAGTCTATATTCCGAAGAATTGCGCTTTGAGTTTAATAAAGCGTATGTTTTTATTGCTTATTTCATTATCTGATAAATTCCGCGTCGAAAAGATGTGACAGTGCCAGTTCGTGATTTTAGTACATTTAAATGTATAAGAAGGTTGCTTAGGTGGCTAAGAGAGACTGACTTATCGTAGTTTGTATAAATGTGACCAACTTTGCAGAAATCACAACTTATCTATCGAATACCGAATCACATTACTAGTCATTATGTTACTTTGTGTTCATACCTGAAGCTTGAAATCGAATCGCTCTTTTAATCATCTGCCGCTCTTTTCAAAGCATCTATCCATATTGTGGTCATGGTTTAGTGTCTACCAATCTAATAATTTTAGGTTTTTGAGGTTTTCTATTGTTCTCTGCGGAGTAGTGATGTAAGCCAACTGGTTAGATGTACTATTTTGGAACGAAATATTTTGTCCAACTTAATTCAAGGTTAGTTTTCAATTAACACTGATATTAACGATTCTCCATGAAAATAATGAGCGAAGTCATTTTTCGATTCCATTGCTTGACTATTTGTAATCAAATTTCAATTTGAGCAGACTTCATTTCTAATTCATGATTTTTCACTTGCTTTCTAAAATGTTATTTTTATGTTTATTGTTGGAAACTGTCCTTACGTTAATGAAGTTAAAATTTTGGAATCTGACTCAAAAGAACAGTTTTTTATCATTGATAAAACTAAGCTAGATACTAACTGAAATCGTAGGCAACTACTTGATTTAAGTTTGCGATTCTTCAGCAATGCTTGTTTACCACCATTACAAACAAGTCTGGACCTTTAGAGTTTTCTGGTAGTACACTACCTTGAGGTTAGTGACTACTGTACACCACCAAGGGATTTATGGTGCAAAGTTGAATGATAAGTTTTCAATTAATCGATTGTAATTTAGGACAGCAAAAGATATCACAGCAGTTAATGGGTCAAATTGAAGCTTACGACTTAGCTAATGTCAAAATATTATGAATCGTATTTTTAATAGCTACACATAGAAAATGTTCTAACAGATTTTCCGAACAACAGCTCTCCGTAATTTTTCATTTTCAGTCCTTTCCTCATTTCCAACAACCTCCTATCTGTGTTTGTTGGAAATACATATGTGGTTTGGGCTACTTATATTGATATAAGTAGTATATAACGTGCGTTAAAAGAACGTAATGTCTGGCAACAGAAGATGGCGAAGATCAAGAAAGGTAGAGCAAGAACACAATGGAATTTGTAAGAAAACTCATGAACAATGGAATGGGAGATAATGGATTGGTGTTTGCAACAGAAGCAGTCCAGTTTGATTTGATGCATGAATATTTTGCAAATTGACGATTTACTATATGGTATTCAGATTTTGTTGAGATAGTCTGTAATTATTGTGTTTAGTACATCCGATTGTCCCCACAAGTGTTCTTGTTCACTACACATATATAATGGGGTGTAGTCGACAAAACTTTTAAACGACTAATTCAGCTCGTAGTTAAATGGAATTATTTTGATGAGAAGGATGTGTATCTCCGTTGTTCTCTGACGTATTGGAGCTAGGTTTTAGAATGATGCGTGAAGTCTACAGAATTTTATAGTTTAATCTCGGCAATTGATAAGATCCTAAGTTACTAGAGTCATTCAGTAAAAATGTAGAAATTCGTACGTACATACATCAGTTCGAGTTGCCACACCACATTAACACAGAGATGCAGTTGTCGATTCAAATCCCATTATGGTAGAGGTAGTAAAAGTATGAGCAGTAATCAGAAAGATCAAGGTTTGAAGATGTTATTCAAGGAGTTTAATACAGTGAAATATATTTGGGAAGAGAAATATAGGAACATGAAGAATTCAGTTGCTATTGTTTCGCGGTCCCCAACCAGGTAGTCTACACCTACTAACATAGCTCAGTCCACTTGTCAGTGACTTCATGGATTTGTGCTATGCTTTGGTCTGGCCGCCTCTAGCTTTCTCCCAACCTACACTAAAACACGTCGGGGCAGCCGGTGGTTGGGTTGTGCATACGTAACACGTGTCCCAGCCATCTCAACTGATGAAGTTTCACTACTTCATCAATTGATTTGCCATCCTTACCTAGTATCCGTTTCCTAACAACTGCGTTACTTACTCGATGGTTCCAGGATATACGAGCAATTGTTTGAACACCTATGTTCAAATACTAGTAAACTACAAATATCCTCTACTCTTACCGGCTGTTTCACTACCATACAGTAGGACGGAACGAACTGCTGCGCAGTAAACCCGTCCTTTATTTGGTAGACATGGATATCTCGCCTACGCCGTAAATGACGCCAGTTGGCAAAAAACTAGTCTAGTTACTAGAGTAACATACTACCAGTACTGGGTTCGAGTTCTGAAGTGAACATCAACTCCAAGTTTCTGTCAATTCCAATTGATATATCTCAGATTAGGCAAAATATCCATCCTCGATTCCATTTCTAATCATTATCTACAAACTAAACAATTCAATATCTAATCTAAATTCAATTTTTAATAAAGTTTTGCATACAAATTGAATAACAGTTTCATATTGAAATATTGAATAATAATTAATGTTGAATTAAAATTAATCCATCATGTCAACTATTTGTTTCTTTTCTTTACTTTTTTCTTCTCTTTAATTGAATAATCTTCAAACACATTGACTTGACAACAACAAGAAAATCGATTCACCCCATTATTTATTTATTTATCTATCACTTTTATTGATTAATTGATTTTTTTTTGTAAATAAAAATATTTCCTCTTCGAAAAAAAATATAAACTTCCAGTGTTTCTATGCCGTTTTTCTCCTTTTTCTTCTATATTAGTTTTATTATTAAAGTAAATACACTTCATTTCATAATCAAAACAAACACGTACATATAGAAAATGATGATAATAGAATGAATACAATCAATGGGGGTTATATTATGATTATTGAATGGAGAGAGAGAGGGGGGAGGGGGAAAGGAGGGATGGATGGATGGAAAGAAATCAATATTATAATGAATGAATTACTATTTACTCCCTTAATTATTATACTTATTGCCAGATTTTTTTCGTTGAGATAATATGCAACATTGAATATATATATTTATATTGTTATTATTAATGGACAGGATAGGTAGAGACTAACAAAATGAATGAGATTCTATATATATATATGTACATAGATACTATGAATGGTATGGTGCCAATTTTTCCTTTTTAAGCTGGGTAACTTTTGTTTTCTCTTTTTTTTTCATGAAACATTTTGAATAGATTGTTTCTTTCTCGTTTTTCTTTTTGTTGTTAAATCATGTCGCCAAATTTTTAAATTAAGAAATAAAATGAAACCAAAATATTGAATAATATATAAAGGGATTAAGTATTTTGATGGAGTTTTGTTCTCTAAGCTGGATAGTTTGATCATGGAACTTTCATTGTTCTTCTGAACAATACCACCAACACACCACTTCTATCTGCTGATGCTGTCATTCGGAAGAATGATGAAAGCTTCATGATCAAACCATCCAGATCAGAGAACAAAACTCTATCAAAAATCATTCAACTGACCTAAAAAAACTTTCTCCACCATCTCAGGGATTAATTATTTATAATCATGATACACGTTTGTTACTGATTATTTTGTTTCATTTGTGACATG